TGTAAAGTTACTTTTTCAGTGCAGTTGTAACTTGGATGTCAATAAACAATTTTGGAATCTCTGTACTCATGAATCCTGCACTGTCATCTTGTGGATATATATATATATATATATATATATATATATATATATATATATATATATATATATATATATATAAGATATTTCTCATTGCAATGGGACCTGCTATTGATTATATATATATATATATATATATATATATAAGATATTTCTCATTGCAATGGGACCTGCTATTGAGAAATTATGCCCATTTAATCTTTGCTTCATGGTAAACATTCGCTGGGTTCCCTGGGCTAATTCTGTATTTTGTAAGCACCAAGCTATTGTCAAGCAGTTGGAGACACTAGAGGAAACAGAATGGAAGCAGTGTAATCTTGTATCACACAGTACACTGGGCCCTAGAGTCTTCAATAGACAAATGCTCCATTTGAGCATCATATAGGAGAGGCAGTTGCAAGGAGTATGAGGTTATTAACAAACTCAGTGGCAAAGATCTACACAGGGTGGTGTATGGGAGAGGGAGGGAGGGAGAGAGTTGATTGCAGCTGCTGAAGGAGATGGTGAAAGAATTTGTGGGGCAGGAAGTCATCTTGTGAATGGACCTTGTTTACTGTACTTTCTTACAAAGATAAAAAGATCTACCTCCTCAGCCGAACACTGCACACTTAATCATTCTGCTCAGAAACCTCCCACACACCCAGGACTGGGGAGGGAGAGGACCAGCCAGGGGAGCAGGAGGAAATTTCATTTTGCCCATGGGTTTCAGGCACAGGCCAAAAGAAGCACCTCATTTTAATCTAAATTCCCTTAGAGTGTTGTGACTGAAGTTAATTGCAGCAAATAAATAGAAATGAAGTGTTCCTATCTTTTGGATGAGAGTAAAAGAGAGCTGCCTCTTTGTCTGAGACGTGCTTACAGTTTCTAATAATATGTGGTTCTGATTTTGTTGAAATGTATTGTGTTCTATTTGTAACATTTAGTCCCATCTTTTCTTCCAAACAGCCCTACTTCCATTCAGGACTCTCCATCTTTTATTCAGCCCATGTTCCCTACAAGGGCAGATAACACCTAGTGGATTTCATGCTGACACAGGGATTTAAACCTGGGTCTCCACGGTCAAGCATTAATTGCTATCCCAGGCAGTTCCTGAGCTAGGATCCAAGAATGTAGCAGAAAGAACAACAAAGTTCCCCATCCATGTATACAGGCCCTTTTCCTTAGAGTAGGAGAAACTAAATAAGAAGGATACCTCTGCAATATTCCCTGATTTTTTTTTGAGAAACAGCAGCAGAGCCCTCTGGGGCTAGCGAAATACCAATGACTGCACTTGCTCATTATATTTAATTGGTTGTATATGTCCCTGTTATGTTATGCCTGACATTTTCCTCCTCTGTAGTTAATACAAAGATTGAAGGTGATTTAATTTGGGGAAATAATGCAGAGAGGAACTACTCATCACGGGTCCTTTTTCCTTGTGCAAAGAAAAAAGATACCTGGAGAGATTAGGTTCTCCTACTTGAGCAGGGGGCTGGACTAGAAGACCTCCAAGGTCCCTTCCAGCTCTATTCTATTCTATTCTATTCTATTCTACTCTATTCTACTCTACTCTACTCTACTCTACTCTACTCTTCTCTACTCTATGGGTCATCCCTAAAAAAATAAGATTGATAAGATTGAGCGAGTCCAAAGACAGGCAACAAAAATGGTGCAAGTTTTGAGAGACAAAACATATTAGGAGAGATTGCAGGAACCGAACATGTATAGCTTGAAGGACTTTGAAGGTAAAGGGGGAACATGATTGAAACCTTAAATATTAAGAGTGTGAATATAAGATTCTCGAAGGCAGTATTTTCAATATTAAGCAAAAATCAAGAAAACGGGGGCATGACCACAATAACAATAGCACTTAGACTTATATGCCTTACAGCCCTCTCTAAGCTATTTACAGACTCAGCATATTGCCCCAACAATCAGGGTCCTCACTTTACCAACTTCAGAAGGATGGAAGACTGAGTCAACCTTGAGCCAGTCAGGATCGAACTGCAGTCAGCCGGCAGTCAGCAGAATTAGCCTGCAATACTGCATTCTGACCACCATACTACCATGGTTCAAACTGACAGGAGGGATGTTCAAAAGTAATGTTAGAAAGTATTACTTTACAGAAAGAATATTGGAAGCTTGGAACCAATTTCCTACAGTGACAAACAGCAGACTTGATGGACCACTAGGTCTTTTTCTGCTGTGAGTTTTCTATGTTTCTATTTCAAAAGGGATTCAAGCATTTTTGAAATCTAGAACTGTGAACATTTCAAAGTCTACATAGCAGGGTTGTCAAGAGGGAAGGGAAGAGTTCCATTTTTAGGTAACAGACCGTAATTACTTAGAACCCTGATACCAATCGCACCTGTGCATGTGCATACAACAATTTCTTCTTGCTATTTTTAAACTGTGCAAAGCCAGGCTTTGTGTCATATCTACATAGGCTCTTCCAGGTTATATCAGGAGAGATCCTAGGTGGCCATCCTTGAAGGAAATTAATCTTATGAACTGCTCCAGACTGTTGACTGCATTATGATAGCTCTAATGACCTTTTGTGTAGTATTTCCCTGAAGATAATGTTGAGCTGTGCGTCCTGTAGTCATTCACTGATATAAAACTTTTAATTTGGGGAGCTATTACTGTTTAAATAGTGGAATCGTGACTGATTTAATGCAAACAGTTTGGAAAGGGAGTGTAAGGAAAATGCTATAACTGGCAAAAAGTACACAGCACATTATTCACAGAGGAAACATAGACAGGAGTCAGTGCTGTGGATTTTGCACAATGCCTAAGCCAAAAGTAGGGAATTTTCCTTAACCCTCTGACCCAGGACTGGAAAATGCTTTTGGATTAATAGAAAGGGGTATTGCTGGCAACAGGTAGCAGCTATAAATCAACATCTGTCAGTATGGGACCAGATGTTAGAGAAGTAGCAAGCAGTTACAAAAGTAATTAGCATGGATCACAATACCTAAGCAGGGTTTCTGGCAGATGGAAACAGAGACATAGAGGAAAATGACTGAAGGTGGCTGAGGCTGAACCGATAGTTTTAAATCTTTCATAAAAATCACTTTTTTCTTGCTTAAATTCTGAGGTTCATCCTATAATGCGGGGTAACATGTAAAGTAGAGCCAAAAATATCATCCAAATACTTCAATCTGAATAGACAAAGCACAATAAGAGCCATTGTGATGTGGTAGATAGAACAGACTAAGGAAATGTGGTTCAGGTCCCAAAACTCACCTCTTCACCTTAGCCAAGCTTTCAGCTTCTCTGGATAATTACAGGGGTAAAATAGGAACAAGGAAGAACACAACGGCCATCTTTAGGAGAATCAGAGTATTAGGCTTTGACATGTGCTAGCAAGATTGTGTATTATTATTATAATCATCATCATCATCATTAACCCCTGTCCTCCAAGTGCCAATAATCAAACCATTTGATGGGCTCCATATCACCTTGGGGTCCCAGGTCTGTCGGCAAACCCATGTCTTTAGGGCTTTTCAAAGGAGTATCAAGGTGGAGCCAATCTTATCTTTGCAGGGATGATGTTCCCCGGGGTGAGCCACCATGGGGAAGACCCTTTTTCTAGGTCGCACTGGATGGACCTCCTAACCCTGCCTCCCTGATCTGGTAGTTGAGTAGATATAATTGGGAAAAGATGGTCCTTCAAATAACCTGGCCTCAAGCTGTTTGAAGGCCTTGCAACTGTAAATCCCCACTGAACCTTTCCCAATCCTGGACATTAGCATTTCTGAGAGCTGAGGTTTCTGAGGAATCTCTTTTGCTGGCCTCTGGCAATTGCGATCTCTGTAGCATTCACATTGCTACATATATTATATGTAGCTGTGTATAGATCTTTCGTTTTACCCCACTTCAGGAGTCCTGATTCAGTGTCTTTTGCCTTGTTTTCTCTTTAAGCACTCCTTGGGACTTTTCGCAGGCTGTGCTATATTTGAAGAGCAGTCAAAATTTGCTGTTGCTGCAAAATGGACTGTGACTTCCCTCTCTCCTCTCATTCTGCAATAGCATGTTTCTCATTAGATCAGGATTTAACTGTCCTATAGAGCAGGGTCTCCAACCCCTAGTCTGTGGACCTGTACCAGGTCACAGCATGCCAGCAACCGGTCCGCACGAACAAGCAAAGCCCCATCTGCGGGATGCAGGCAGCACCCAAAACCAGGCCCCCTCCAGTCCACGGAAAAACTTTTCTCCACGGAACCGGTCCCTGGTGCCAAAATAGGGACCTCTGCTATAGAGCAGTGCGCTGTGGAAAACTTGCAATTTAGAATCAGGGGATCCTTACACTGTCCAGATTTGTTGACTTGTTTTAATAATTGTATCATTGCTCTTTGTTGGGATAAGGAAGAGTCCCTGCAAAATAATGGCTAATCTCTCGTGTCTCTATAGATTTTAGCTAGTGCCATTTGTGACTTTTGTTATTAAAGGTCTCTTTGGGGGATTCTTCAGGTCAGGGAAAAAGAAGCATAATAAGAGAAAACATCCTTTACATATTGTCAGTTATGGTTTTGGGTAGCTCAAATTTATTTAGGTTTTCTGATCTATTAAGTGGCTACTAATAATATTCGTGGTGACTCGGTGGTTTGAATGCAGTACTGCAGGCTACTTCTGCTGACTGCCAGCTGACTGTAATTCGGCAGTTTAAATCTCACCGGCTCAAGGTTGACTCAGCCTTCCATCCTTCTGAGGTTGGTAAAATGAGGACCCAGATTGCTGGAGGCCATAGGCTGACGCTGCAAATTGCTTAGAGAGGGCTATAAAGCATTGTGAAGTGGTATAAAAGTCTAAGCGCTATTGCTACTAAAAACTATAATCTTCTCTTTAAAAAGAATGACAGCTTCATCTCCCTTGCCAGGGATGGCTTTTTTTAACTTGAATATTTTTAAACCTCTTCTACTGCACCCTCTTTCTTTATACAGATCCAAAGAAGTGCTTACTCCGTCTTCTTTGATGAGAAGTTTTCCATTCCCTTGGATCCTTCTATGTTGGAGGAAAACAGCTTGAGATTCTCTGTTTTTGGCATTGATGAGGATGAGAGAAACATCAGCACTGGTGTGGCTGAGCTGAAGTTGTCCGATTTGGGTATCTTTGTCCGGCCTTTCAACGCCTGGCTTTATCTGCAGGACATGAATAAGGTTCATCCTATTACTGCACACAGATTTGGAGTCCAGAAAGGAAGGCCTATCACTTGCTGGTTTTGTTACTATTGTACTGTCATGAAAGGGAAAAGGCCCTTGCAAGATTTTCCTATCTCAGGAGCCAAAATAAATTGGCTGTATCTCAATATGTCATGCCTTCCTTCAGGCAAGAATCTCCAAGCCTCCAGTTCTGTCATTATTGCTCTCTAAAAAACGAGTCAGTGGTCCCAAGAGCAATGGAGGAAAATCTCCGTGCTGTTAGTCAGCAAAAGCTATTCTTCTCACTTGTGACCTCCTTGGTAGAGGCTGTAATTGCAGCAGGATTGGGCAAAAAAGATTTCTAAGGACTAAATGAAACTAAAGTATTTAGGGGAGCTTCTTCAGCCTCTTGGTAACTCTCCACAATCTTCCCAGGTTGGTGGCCCGGAGTGGTGGGAGGGAGAAAGAGGGGATGGTTTAGTCGGAGGGGATGCAGGAGCATCCATTGTTCATGCAAGTGGGGTCAAGAGCATCCATGAGGCTTGTGCAAATGAGGCCCCAAAAGCTTGTGCAAGTGGGGCCATGAGCCCCCGTGACACTCGCATGAGTGAGGCCACGAGCCTGTGATACGTGAGTGAGGCCACAAGCCCCAGTGACGCTTGCGCAAGAGCTCCCATGCACCCATGGCGTACGAATGAGCTGTGCATGCCCACCAGCCAGCCACTCACATGGTCCGGTTACGAATAGACCATGAACTGATAATAAGCCATGGTCCATAGGATGGGGACCCCTGCTCTAGGTTATCCGAATACCAAACTCCAGTTTTTAGGGCACCTTTCCTAGTGGCATTATAATGTATTCCCCTTGCTCGCACTCGGGAGAGAAGAAAATAGATTATGACATTAGTTCCTATGCAAGGCTTGTAGAATATTGAATGATGAATGTTCCTCTCTTTTTTATTTATAGGCAACTGATTCGGTGGGTGAAATCCTGCTGTGTCTTAGCTATTTACCCACAGCAGAGCGATTGACTGTAGTTGTGGTTAAAGCCAAGAATCTTGTGTGGACTAATGGGAAAATGACTGCAGGTCAGTAGGATCCCTTTTGTCCCTTCATCCACCCCCTTCCCCAGTGCTGGATAAATTATAAATATGATGCCAGAGCATTCAGTGAATGGGTCAGCAATGGTTGAGAGTGCAATCTGGTTCTCTTGCAAGTTGAGTAGAAGAGTTGGAATAATAATGTACTGCGATCTATTTTGTCATATTTTCTTTAAGGATTAATTTAGTTCTGCTACAAATCCAGGGAGAGGAAAAAGTGATATACATACTAATGTCTGTAATGTATTCTCTGTATTATAGAAGTATTGATCAGTGTAAAACTATGATGAGCTCTACTAAATTGTTATGTCACAAAATCCTTAGGATGTGGAAGAATTCTGATTTCTGCATGCTGGTAGCAAATGACTTTATTTCTAAACGCAGTGAATAATTCACATTTGCAACCCAGATTCTGAGACTGAAATTCATTCCAATCACTCAGTAAAAGCTTTGAAAAATAGAAAGGATGGAGTGTAGTGATCCCTGTGCCCTAGTTCTCTAAAGCGGGTTTGTAGGGCCAAAGGGAAACAAACACAGTGGCTGAAAATCTCATTCCTCCCACATCGGTCATCAAGTAGAATAATAATCATCGTCATCATCTTCATCATTATCATCATCATCATCTCCCCTCTCTGTGACCTTAACTTTTAACATTTGCTAAATCTAAGTGATAGACAATTCATTTTTCCAATCATATAAGATTCAAGGCAGAAAATATGGAGAGGGATTGGTTGAAGGGTGGAGACACTCACAATGTGCTGCCAAGTTTCTATGATCTTTTCCAGAAAGTGATCATAGCAGGACAGCCATTGTATATTTTGAAATGTCTCTCTAAACATCAACCTACTTAAATAGCTGTTAGCAGAAATTGAAAATCTGTAGGAGGTTACTGTCTTTGAAGAAATTAGGAAATGACCGGTTAATTTCCAATTTTAATTAATTGGATTTCTCCTGGTTCTTGTCAGCAAGTGTGTTTGTAGAAGTTAACCTATTTTACCCTAAAGAGTCTGATTATAATGCTTTAAAATCAGTCTATGATGTGATATTTTTTTTTGGTCATGTGGCAGTGTATTTTCTATTCATCCTTGATCTCAATAATAATAATAATAATAATAATAATAATAATAATAAACCAGAGGTGGTATACAGTAAGCAGAAATTGCAGCCCCTGAAACGATGACAGAGTTTCAAAGATAAAACAAGCATGGTGCGAAAACCATTTCTTTGGAATATGGATCATCTTATTCTTCCTTCAGATCCTTTCGTCAAAGTGTACTTGCTGCAAGATGGGAGGAAGATCAGCAAGAAAAAAACTGCAGTAAAGAGAGATGAGACAAATCCAGTGTTTAATGAGGCCATGATTTTTTCAGTGCCAGCAATTGTCCTGCAGGTAAGAGCTCTCTGATTCAAATGATGTGAACCCCCACCACCCCCTGCTATGGGCACGGGCATTAAAACATGTACACTGCAGCAACATGCTAGTGGTTTTGGCATCCATCCCTAGCCCAAGCATTCCTGAGACATTAGGTGCTATTGTGCAAGTGGTGTTGAAGGACACATATTCTGTTCAGGGCCTGATCTATAACTTTACTAGAGTCTAGTTGGATTAATATTTAGTGGTTCACATTTGCATGTGATACTACAGATGAGCTGGTCCTGAATCATTCCAGTCAGGATTGTCAGCAATGACTCAAGTAGTTATTTTTTCCACAACCCTACTGCTTGAGATGCTTTCAGCTAGAGATGCCAGGGATTGAATCTGGGATCTTGTACACACTCTAATGTGCTCAGCTAGGCAGCTGTGCATTTTCTCATTTCAGCTTATGCTGAGTCAGGAGAATGGTGTATGATCATAAGTTAACTTCTGGCATGTCGATATATAACTATTTTACATGTAAGCATATCCTGCTAGACTTACATCAGTCATCGACTGCTTAAACAGAACCATTGTCATTGGCCTCTGAACTTGGAATAGTGACTCCCCCTGTGTGTCCTTCAGAGTTTGAGGGACAAGAGTAGAATTAAATAGGTCTGTTCCATCTGCAGGGTTTATGGTACATCTCTGTGCTTTCATAGCAATTAAAGCCAGATCATTGGAACAAAATGCTCAACTACAAAATGAAGCAGAAATGTTAAAAAAACTACTTTGGTGAATGAGGGTGTGTGTTAAATTGTGGTTTTTTTATTGCTGTATGCTGCCCAGAGTCACTGTGGGTGAGGTGGGCGGCCATATACTGATTTTTTTTTTTTAAAAAAAAACCTTACTTTTGACAGTCTGTAAATAATTGAGAAGTAGTTTTGTCAACAAACATAGACCTTTTAGGGATTATGGCAGATATAAATACAGGGCGGTTTATGCTGTACCTTACGCTAAACTGTTTATATCAGTGATCGTGTGTACTAAAGGTTTTACGTGCATCACAGATTGAAATTAAAGGCAGCCTGTTGCAGGGTGCCCCAGATTAGGGCACTCTGATAAATTCAGACCAGGAAAAGTCAATAAACTGAAACAGAATAGGCTTATAACATTCCATTCTGCCTGTCTTAGTCTTGGTGATTTCACAAGCTTTTCTTGATGGAAAATAGATTCTGTCCACAGGGATTTGGCATAAAAGCAGAGGCTTTCAAATTAAATTCTGCGGGGGGGGGGGGGAAAGCTGACATGGAAGATGCAAACTGAACCACCATGTCACTCGGTAGGCTGAATATATAACTCCTTTTGCTTTCCAGTCATTCAAAAGCTCTTGTGCTGAAATCTAATGAACCCTATCTAAAAGAATAATCTTCAAATGAGAAGTATGTATGTACTTCCTCATATGTATCAGGAAGCTTTATTCGGCAGCAGCATGGAGACAAGTAAAAGGATGGGATATTACAATAACCAAGGAAAGGCTTACTTTTCTTGTTTTTCCCTCTTTTTCTTGAAGATGAGATGATCAGAAGAGATAGGACAAAGCTTCTGGAACAAGCGTTCACAAAAATAAGCAGAATAGGAACTATGATAAAAAAATATTATACATAAATCTGCAGATTGCCTGAAGACTTATTAATGTTTCATTTGCAAACAGAGCAACGATTAACTTAGAATAAAGATCCAGTTGCTAATTGCTGTTGAAAGGTTGAAGTCATACACTTCAGTCTACATTAGAGCAGCAAAAACTGTTCCTAAATAATAGAATTTGCATTTGAAGACACATTTTGGAGTGGTTTAAGAAATTCATCCAAGATGAGGCTTTTAAAATTTGACTTGTTCAGACAACTGAACAAGTCAAATTTTAAAAGCTTCATCTTGGATGAATTTCTTTTACTTCTCTCATGCAGTTTTTCAAGCCTCGCTTGAAAAGTTTTAAATGACTTTTTCCACTTCCTTTTCTTTCCTTTCCTTTCCTTTCCTTTCCTTTCCTTTCCATCCTTCTTGTTCCTGCTATGTCTTTAACTATCTCCAAACCCCAGAAATCAGGAATGTAGATTGAGTGGCTTATTTAAATCACAGGTGACCTATCTTCTGGAGAGATAAAAACTGATGTTGGTTTTGGAATGGAGTGATCAGATTCATAATATAAAGCCCCAAAAAAATATTAAACTACATTAAATATTTTAATTAAACTAAAACCAGTTAGTCTGATTACTTTTTAAAAAATATAAGCCAGTACTACAGAAGTGGCTTCTGAGAAGATACTTTGGTCTTGATGGAGCTCTATAGGTACAAGATCATAGTCTCATGGTTCATGTTCCATTGCATGTTTGCTGGCTTTTCAGAGTAGCTTAGGACAAAATGGAAGATTATACTGATGTACACAGAAACACATTTTCCCATGATGTTGTGGGGCTTTTCACGGCTCTTGAGAAGCTGAAGTGATGATTTGTTCCAAAAGAAACACTGCAAATATGGTTTTGCAGCATTTCCTTTAGAGCTGTGGACCAGTTCAAGTCACACTGGTGGATAATTTCAGCACCAACTCCCTACCATCTGCTACCAGAACACAGTGGTATCTTGCAGTGCCCTTCTCCACCCTCTCCTGTTGCTCTGTGGTATGGCCTTGCCACTCTCCCAGCACAGTGGCCATCTGGGGATTTTTAGCTTTTTTCTCTCTCATCACAAATGTGGGGTGTCTGTTGGCTGCCAGTTTTTGTACCAATGAAATAACGGAGCACCAGAATGAAATCCCATTGAAGGCTCAAAGAGATGATGGAGCACAGGAATGAGGACACCCGGCAGCATTGCAGAGCTGTTGAAAAAGGTAAGATGGGCAAGCTTTGTGACTCTGGGCAAATTCCCCAACTTTCAACCTTCTAATTGCATTGCTTTATTTAAACTAAAATGCATAACTAGGTGTAGTTTGTCGATTGAAGGTAGCACATTTCCAATGCACTGTATGCCATCAAAGATTCTAACCCTAATTTATGACTTTACAGGAACTCTCTCTTCGGGTGACGGTCGCAGAATGCTGTGAAGATGGGAGGGCTGAAAATATTGGCCATGTTGTCATAGGCCCAGCTGCAGGAGGCATGGGCATCACTCACTGGAATCAAATGTTGGCTACTTTGAGGAAACCTATATCCATGTGGCACCCACTTCGACAAAGCTAAGGGCATACCTCCACTTCATTGAAAATAATCCAACACGGTGCTTAAATAACTCCAGGAGGCCAATGCTGTTGGAACAATGAATTTGTGAGACTATAAGAGTTTTAAAAAATCTAAATATTCCTCACAAACCATAATAGCAGTGACAGATGATTATGTGATGATGGATTGCCAAATGAGACTACCCAAGCCTTGGAAAAGAATCATACCTAAAACAGTGAGAGAAGAAGATATATAAATACAGATGGCTTCCTATTAGCTGGTGGACAAATAGTCTTTTGATTCCAACATTCTAAATCACCAACTTGGAGAGCCAGTTATTTTTGAAGTTCTTTTACACTGAGTCTTGTGGTTCCACATTATTTTCCTCTATTGAAGGCTGAAAAGGAAAGCTTATAATATTTTATGCTTCACCTATGTTTCAGACATGTTGACTTGGAAGTCAAATTCTTGGGAGCGAATGGGTCCTGCTTTGATATAAATATATATTTGAATCACATTTTTTTTACTTCATTCCTTCTCTCGTTTGTTGGGAATCAAGTCTTGATTACTTTGGATAAATTTGGGCAAAATTACTTCCAACTAAAGTTGCTTAAGTCACATTTTTTGCAATCATTGTCACGGGTATCTTATGGTTGAGATTCAAGTACTGTTGCCCTGTTTGCCTGTTTTGGAGAAGAAAACTAAAAGGCTCATATGTGAATAAATATTTGACAGAGTGAACTTTTACAAACAAAGATGTGCATCATTAGATATGTGGACTACTGTTTGCTGTAAATGCTCAACCAATTTGCTTTGAAGATTCATTAATCTTCCTCCTCTCTTTGAATTTATGGTAAAAATGTAATCTCACATAGAGCACAGCACCATCACAGAGATGACCTCTGCTCATGCAATAGCTACCTGGGCTCTGGTGTGGTCCTGTTTAATTTCAAAGTCCAATAGGAACATTATCATCACAGAGGATGCAATATTGTGCTTATCTACTGAGATGTAAATTCACTGGGCCTTATTTTATATATATGGTATAGAATTCAATAGCCAATGGACTTTTCCTTCCCCTTTTCACCATTTATCAGCAAATGGAGACCAGCCTGTTTATAAAGTGTGAATGCTTTATTTATTCAGTCTGTGTGTGCTTGACCTCAAGAAGCAGTTGACCTCATACAGGGGCAGAAGAAGAGAGGAGATGGAGTGGATACAGATGTATCATGCATGACAGATCCATCCTTAGAATAGTAAATTTGACTGGGTGATTTGTAATTCAAGGTTACATCAGTCATAAGACACTAAATATTTGTATTTTGAGAAATAAAGAATGGCAGCTTGAAAAATAAAAATGAAATTGAGCAAAACAAAGGGAAATTATATGGCAAAATATTTCATGGTTACTGAAAACATTGTGGGTGATGTATTTGCACCCAATAAGTCACTTTTGGTTGCTATATAAATTTGATAAGTAAATAAAAGTAAATAAAAATATATTTTTCTGTTATTAATTTTAAAATTTGTAAAAAGAATGTAGGAACACCAACAGGATAAAAAAAATCTTAACCTCACAAATAACTAAGCACTGTTCTGATATGATTTCTAGGCAATCTGTCGTCTTTTTGATCCTCATGTAGTAATTTTGTGAACGTCTGATTAGTTGGCTGACTTTCTAATTTGCAATCGATTTAAAATCTCAGCAGTGGCACATGCAAGACAGAAAGTAATATTCCTATATCTATATCAATATCACATGTTTGCACCCCCATCCATCATACCAAGATATCAAGAGCACGCCAGCGGCAACACACTGCAAAATCCCCAAGACTGTTTCCTTGACACCCTTGGAAAAACCATTTTTCCTTCTTCCCTTGCATTAGAAAACATGAGTTTCACTGAGGTCAGCCTGTCTGTGTGGTAATTCACTTTGACTGGACAAGACTGGACTGTCTGCCTTCCTACCTCTATTTCATTTAGTCCAGCTCAAGAAATAGCCAGCTTTGAATCAGGATTTGCTGGGATACCACATGAAGCTTCCTACACTTGCTCCGGATGAATTCAAACTTTGTCTCCTTGTGATGGAACAGAAGGTCTTTTTTTAATTCATGGACCTCTGGAAGCTCAGTCCAGGGTGGGATAACTTCACAATTGGCATGTTGTGGAGGCAGAGCATGGACTGCCGTATCTGCCTGGTATTTGCTAAGGATATCCCTGTGAACTCCAGAGCAAAGCCTTGCAAAATATGTTCAGAATTCAGGAATGGAGAGGACGAAATGGGGGAATCCCATGAGGGATTGGAAAGGCATTGGGAATGGTTTGAAAAATGCAACGAATGGTGGTGTGGCAGAATGCATTACCTACAGCTTAAATATATATTTAAGCTTCCTCCAGCTCTTAATACTTACTGATCAACATTTTGAAAGCAAGATTTCCCTAAGGGCAAACTTTTAATTCTTGCATGTGACAAATAGCTTGCTTTTGGGTGGATATGCCATGTGTTTTTATAGCACACACAGACCTGTATCTGATTTCTCCAGAAAATACATCTCTTCCCATGCTACCAAATAATGGTGAGGATCCCCACAAGGTGTAAATTCTAGAAAAGTTGCGCTCTCTTGCAGCCCAGTCTAGCCCTTTACCAAAGCAGAAGCTATGCCACTAAGAAAAAACATGGCATTCAATAAAGGTAATTTAAACATCTCCTGTGAATAGTGTCTAGGGAACAGACTGTTTTAGCACAGAGAAGAAGCCGCTGACAGCTTAAAGATCTTTTCAAGGATTAGATTATACAGACAATGGATCTTCTTAGGAAATGGATTTCATGTAGCAGGAAAACATTTTCTGAAATAAAGCTAGATAGGAAATAGAACCTGTTAAAACTAGGAACAGATGCTTTAAAAAAAACAAGTTCTTCTATTTCAGATGTCTGGGATACAAATCCCACAGAACTCTCATTCTAAGTATTAAGCCCTGAAAAGGGAGGCTGTGTCCTGTTTTGTAATCCATCCATTCATTCTTGGGGCTTAGAGAACAAGGAGGTCTGTGTGAGCAAAATCCTACCCTTCTGTTTGTTTTATTGTTAATAATCAGACTGTCTGAGAGGTTTCCATTTGGATTCCTGCACTTAATAGGAAGTCTGATTTGATGGCCTAAATGACCTCTTCCCTCGCTGATTCTAGTATTGTTTATGGGCATGAGGGAACTTTATTTGACATGTCAAAGCTTTTACTGATATGTTGCTAAGGCCTGTGCTCTGAAGCACTCATGTGCTGTGGAGGGTGGGGGTAATAGCTAACACGTGCTTCTCCTGAGCTTGTAATAAATCAATGAGTGCATAGATGTTGTATGCTACATTCTCACAGTGAGAACATTAATATAGGGTTAGTAGCTTTTCATAGGCACTCATCTTCCTTCCAAATGCCCTACAATGAAATAAGCCAACTGGGATAATCTTGATGAAGAAAATTTTCATGGAGAAAATCTATGTGGTTGCTCAAGGTCAACATAATCAGTCAGTTGGCAGAGAGACCTTCCTTGAATGGTGCTCCTCTCAGGAAGAAGTCCTCTATCAAAGGTTGAAGGATTATCTCCCTCTGTTCCCACTGTACTACAGCCTACCCAATTTAGTGCACCTCTTTCTTTTTGTAGTACAAAGGCAGAAATACAAAAACTTGATGACACAATCAGTAGAGTTCTTGGAATGGTTTGAGTTTTGGACTCATTCATATAACAATAGTAAAATAGCAGAGATGATGATGTAGGTCAAGGGTAGGCAACCTTGGCTCTTTTATGACGCGTGGACTTCAACTCCCAGAATTCCTGAGCCAGCCATGCTGAGGAGAAATGGACAGGTTTCCAAGCTGAGCCATGCTGGCTCAGGAATTCTGGGTGTTGAAGTCCATGAGTCATAAAAGAGCCAAGGTTGCCTATCCCTGATGTAGGTCTATGATATAAAATCTGCATCCAGGATAGGACTTTAAATTTAATAAAGAAAAAATACTTGTCAGCTTTGGAGGAAAAAAAAGAAATGGATTAAGTTTACCCACCACTTTTGGTGGTCTATTTCTAAAAGAAAAGTAGGATTTCCATTCTCTTTGTTGGCCCAAACAACACTTGCTTTGTTCACCTGGTGTGATTAGCCAATGAAACACACACAAATAGTGGAAGCCAGAAGCCCTTTTATTCCAAAGAGATAAACTTGGGGCAGATGCCACTAATCAGTTGCACAAGTTTGCAATTTTAAGCATATTTAGACAGTTTCAGGCAGGGAAGTTATACAGCTTTAATTATTATCAGTCAATGCAAATAAACAACTCCCTGCATAACATCACTAGGCAATTATATTTTCATTGGGGAGCGTGCTTCATTATCTAAGCTGCCTGCCTCTGGGCATGATTTTGACTATACTGATGATGAACTTTCATGACCCCCATAGCCCGAGGCAACTACTTGCAATTTTAACTGTCTGCCTAATAGAAGAATAAACTTTCCCAAATGGCTTTAAGCTACTCCCATCATTTCCCCCTTTAACACTCTGTACCAGGGGTCTTCAATCGTGGCCCTTTTATGACTTGTGAACTTCAACTCTCAGAATTCCTCAGCCAACATGCCTGGCTGAGGAATTCTGGGAGTTGAAGTTCACAAGTCATAAAAGGGCCAAGTTTGAAGACTTCTGCTCTGTACCAACCCATAGTGAAGGTTTGATGTGTCGCTTTTTTGGGGTGTTGGAAGCATTAGTAATAATTGGAGTGTAGAAGTTTAGAACCATGAGTGTGCAATGCATCATCCCTTTTGGGAAACAAATCCTTTAAGAACAGAGGAGCACTAAGGAAAACACTGCATATAGCACCACACCGTGAGTCCAATCACTCCCAAAAAATATGATCATAACAATTAGCAATTTTAACCACCCAAAACTGGGTAGCCAATTGGGGAGAGAGTGCCAGATATTGAAAAAGGATGGTAAGCAAGCATCAGTTTGTGCAATAGTATGAAAATTGGCAGACTGGTTTAAGATTACCTAGACATCAGCAAGAACCTTATCCTGTTGATCAATAAAAGTGCAACTGCTAGAATTAATGAGAACATAAACATCTCCTTGGCTAGCGAAAAGGAAATCCAGAATTATACGATTTTGGATGACAATTCGTAATACTGAAGTCGCTTCTGCTTGTAACCTACTGATTGCATCTGCTAATACTTCCCATAAATCTCTTTATTTATTAGTATCAACTCTGGATATATGTAGTTAACCCACAAACTCCTTTTGCTTCATTGCTTATTTAGGGTAGATCAGCATCTACTGGATGACCTTAATAAACCTTCAACATATCAGCAAGTGGTCACATATCTGACTCCCAGATATCTAACAACAGCAATGACTATAAAAATACTTTTTTTGCTCCTAAATTAAGTGCTGAATAAAAATACCAAAGATAAAACAGGGAATAGATTTTTCTGTGAAAGAACTTGTTAGTTTAAGTCCTGGATTTCTTATGACAAGTTTCTAAGTTGAGCATGTGCTTAGTGTCTACACTACACTACACATAAGCTGCTATGTTGATCTGGTTCTGGTTGGTGCTCCTCAGAATTATACTAAAATTATACTAAATCCCAGGTGCTAACGTCTGCTTGCCCCCTCAGTGATGGTAGATACGTGCTGTCAGTATGTTGTCTTTATGTGCCACCCATCTGCCTGTATAACCATTTGGATAACCCCCTGCCATGAATCTCCCACCTGTGCCTGATGCTCAACTGCAATGGTATCAGTAGCCAGTCCATCCCCCTCTTTCCAAAAATACAAGGACATTTTCTCTTCTTGCATCTGAACAGATGGTCATGAATAATAAGTGAGTTTCCTGAGAGATGTTGCCGGTTATCAGTCATGGGACTCCCTCTCATTCTTACAGAAAAATATGAAATACAAATGCCTCTGTTGAGTCAAATATGTCTATTTATATGTAGAAGGGAACTGCATCCAACTCACAGGCCTCTTCCAGTTGCCAAGGTGCAAGTGCTAGCTAGGAGTTTTCTAACAATTTGGAAACCTGGAAAAAACAGGCATGGAAAGGTTCTCATAGGTCAAATTCTCTCCAGCTCAATTAGTGTTTATGTATTGATTGTTGTATCAAAACACATCTCTAACTGTCCATGGAGTTGTGAAGATAAAATTAGGGAGGCATTTATTTATTTATTTCTAAAATTTATATGCCGCCCAATCCCAAGGGACTCAGGGCGGCATACAAAATTAAAACAATAATATGACAATAAAACAATAAAATAAATACATTCATACAGCGTGTCCGATCATATCCCGCCCCCCCCCTCGGGGACATCAGCCCCAGGCCTGCCGGAACAGGAGAGTTTTAATGGCTTTCTTAAAGGCCGGCAGGGTGGGAGTAGTTCGAACCTCGGGGGGAAGTTGATTCCACCAGGTCGGAGCCACCACAGAAAAGGCCCTTCCCCAAGGGCCCGCCAGCTGACATTGTCTGGCCGA